AAGTGAGTAACAATATTTAGCAGGTGTTATACCTTCAAAATGTAGCTAATTCTATTCTCTTTTCTAGTCACTCCTCCACACTTGGAGTACTAGGCCCAGTGTTGGGCTCCCTGTTACATGGAGAGACATGGACTTAGTGGAGGGAGTTCAGCAAAGGGAACGTAGTATCTCTCACGTGAGAAGAAGCTACGAGAATTGGGAATGTTTAGCCTTGAACAGAAAAGGTTCAAGGGGTTCTCATCGATGTTTTATAAGCATCTGACTGGAAAGAGTAAAGAAGATGGAGCTAGACTCTTCTCAGTGGTGTCCAGTAACAGGACAAGAGGCAATGGCCAACAATTGAAACACAGGACACTCCATCTGAACATAAGAAAACACCTTTTTCTTACTGTGAGGGTGATTAAACATTAGAACACTTTGCCAGGAGGTGCTGCCCAGCCTCAGCTATTCTGTCACTCTTCAAGCATGTGGCTTTGGCCTCTCCTGTGACTCCATACCACAAACGGAGCCAGTTTTACTGGCAAGTACCTCTAATTCTTGTGGCATGTTCTACCACCCTCTCAGCTTTTGACCCAGTAAGCAAGACTAACTGCTCCTCTGCCTTAACTAACTTAGCAAGTTGGACACATTAAGCAGGAAGATACCTGAGAGGTCTGTAACACATGCCAACTAAGATAAAAGTTCCACAGGTTCACAAGTCCAAGTAAACACTTTCCGTAACATTTTTGTGCTATACCTTTAGCCTAAGTAGTTACACTGATGTCCAAGCTCTTATTCACAAAGAAAACTTCTAATCATGCTGTTTTTAGAACATGGCTTAGATGGCTGTCTGGCTGTAGAGATTAAAATCCAAACTGTGTTTTCACTCAACTTGAAAACAGAATGCTAAAGGTCACGCCATGCCTGCTCCCTGAAAATGGAAGGAGTTCATCCACAACTAATATCATAGATGCGAAAGGCTACATCCATGGATAGCAATGCAAGGAATTCAGTCTCATTCCAATAAAACAGGCAGGTTATACAGAAAATCCCTAGCAAAACTAATCTGAGTATTCAAGTCTCTTTTCCAGCTAGCTGTATGAGGTCCCCGTTTATATACATACCCTTTCCAAGAATACAAAAACTTGTGCATTAATGGACCTCATCTTATGAGGGTTATACCTACTGTACAGGGTTACTATAAAACCAGATTCACAAATAAACTCTGAATACCTCAGATTAGAATTCCTACCCTTTTCCTGAACATCAGCTAAAACTCTGAGAAGGGAACTGCCTTAATAAGAAAATATTGAGGGGAAAGAATGTATCCAATGACATCACTCTTCTTTACAACCTTGGTCCCTCTTAAAATAGTATGCCTTTTTCCACACAGGATTCACATTCTTGGTGTTTCTTCTGGAGCCAGACACTTTAGTCCTTCCTTTCATTCCAAACTAGAGGAGGAATCACCCTTCCCATCTCATAAGGGCAGCTTACTAATACACAGGCATGCTCTTTTAGGTAACAGCCAAATGCATACAACACTGATTATGATACAGGACACAATTCAAATCTACACCTCACCTTCTCCTCCACTGTAAGCAGGCCACTTGACAGTCATGTCCTTCCTTACTCTTGCCATTGTCCTCTGTTCAGGTGTTTTACAGAGAACTTTGTCAGAAAAAAAGCACAGCAGTAGAAACTCTACTACTTGCCAAGGCAGTGACCCAAGAGCATGGACAGGTTCCAGTGAATGCTCTGATTACTCCCTCTATACATGTGATGCAAGAGTCATTGTAAAACCCTAATCTCAACACCCAAAATGGCTAAAAGTGAGTATCTTAAACATTAGGCTAGAGAGGGGAGTTCTCTTTGCCCTTACTCTTTCTGATCACAGGTCAGTGAATGCTTCGTTTGGTGATGTCCGGTGGCCCAAGTTACAGAGCTGAGATAAATATGCCACTTACCTTTTTTGTTTGATTGTTTCTTTTTAATGAAAGGACTTTGTGCCAGCATGCTCTGTGAAAGTTCCCAGCTTGAAGATAGGCCATAGATATAAAACATACATATTTCATTGGGCAATAAGACCTATGTGATGCATAAGTCCCATACTGATCTCACATATCCTTTGGTGTAACCTCTACACAAAACTTCCCAACAATCTCAAAACTGGAAAAGTACCCTGGCCATGGGGATTTTAGAGTAAAAAAGCAAGCATCTGTGCCTCTTCAACAAACATTCTGAAGATTAAAGATTTTTGATTTAGGTGGCCGATTCCTCCTCTAGCTCACATCAGTAGTCTACATGGGGGAAAAAAAAGTATATTATTTGACCCGTATCTAGGTAAAAATAATTTCCTACTGACAACACACCTTTAAAATGGGCTTTGAAGCATAAATTAATGTAAATTAAAAAATATTTTTTTTTAAAAACAGAACACCTCTCTTGGCCCGTTCACAGAAAGGGACATTAAAGAAAAATGGGTGAAAATTCTCTGTGAAGGGAAAAAGAATTACAATCTCTTGTGATCATTTTGGAAATTGGAAAAATATTAGTCAGCTAATATCCTCAAACCAGGAGCCAGAAGGTATATTATTAACCCAGATTTCCTATTCATACTACTCCATTCTCTCTAAAAGGCTGTTACTAATGTGACTTTAGTACCATAAACTATGTGAAATGAAGTCTCTCTGAAGTGTTGGGGATGTCACCTCTCACAAAGCTGTTGTCTCCCTGACCCCACCGCTGAGGTTGTATCTAAAGCAGGGTTGGGAAATCAGCGGGTTAGTTTTCTTTCAATTCTTTCTCTAACTGGGAGACACTAGAGTTCCTTCCTGCTCCAACTGGGATGAGCTAGTGTTTAGTTTGCTTCAAAGGTTGAATCAGATTACAAGATAAGTGGGCATCTCTGAAATGAAAAGAACTCCAGAAATTGCTACTAGTTGAGATGAAAAGAGGAGGGGAGTGGCTAGAAGGAGGGAGAAGAGAAAGGCATGAAAGGAACATCTTATCCTTCAGCCTTTATGGAATAATAGGGCCCAAACCTGCATGTCCTACAGTCCGCTGTGTCTTATCAGTCTCCTGTGCGAACACTGGATGCATGATGTACTCTAAATCTCTCCTCCTTTCCCTCATTAAAAGACAATGGAGAGCTTAACTTTTATAAACGAGAGCACTTTATTTTCCAAACATTACAGTCATTTCATGTCTAGCAGGAGTTTAATCCCTCGTAATTTATATAAATTACTGTGTGCTTTAGCAAGTTGGGGTTAAAACTCTGAGATTCTCAAATGATTACAAAAAACCAGCCAGTTTTCAAGACCTAAGTGAGTAATTCCTTGCTTATTTCACCCTGGCTAATTAAAATATAATCACGATTGTTTGGCAATGTGCATTCTGTCAGCAGTTTTACATCGTGAAAGAAATCTCGCCAAGAAAACACACACACCAAACAAAAAAAAAAAAAGCCTTTCACCATGAATTGGCTTGATCTAAACTGTCTCTTTAGCCACTGAAACTGTGAAGCAAGTTACAACTTCTTAACAACGCAATAAAAAATACTAACCCCTCTCTGGGATAATGAACTATTTTAATGGGTACCCTCCTTTCAGACCATCCCGTGATGCAGGGACCACGATGACAGCGCTCCTCCGCCCCCGGCCTCGGCGGAGCCCCGCGGCGGCCAGGACAGGGCAGGGCACGGCAATCCCTTCCCCACCCGCTTCGGGGTGCACTCCCGGTTTCTTCAACCCAAATCCTGTTGCAGACACCCAAACACTTCTGCTACCGTTGCAACGCACATACTCAGCTTTCCTTTCACACTGGCTTTTTTTTTTTTTAATCGGGTTATCCTTAAATACCTCTCAAACCTCCCTTTTCTGCCAACACCTTTGCCCCGAATGCTGCTCCACCCAAAGCATTTGCCCAGGCCCTCCCGGTTTCTCACCGCCCGGAAAGCCCAGGGTGAGCGAGCGGCGGTCCCCGCCGGCTGCCCGGGGCGGTGCGGAGATGTGCCACCCCAAGCGGCGAGCGTGGCTCCCTTCCCACCGAGCTGGCCAACCCCTTCCCAAAGGGGCCTGGGTGCTCGGGAGGGAGATGGACTTGCAGCTCTGAAGGGTTTCCATCATTCGGATTAAGTCGACTCGCTTTAATATTTGCGCAGTGTAGAACAGGTGGGGAACGGAGAAGGGAAGGGTGCGCGTGTAACTGGAAAAGGGGAAAGGACGGGCAGACACAGTCTGCTCTTGCACCAGCTCCCGCACTGCTTTCATTTCATTTTATGCCCCGCAGGTCTCCCACTACTTCAACCACTTTTTCCCCCACTTTATCCCTATTTCCTCACTCCCGTTAGCCAGAGATGTGCCTCTCTGTCCCAGGAAAAAAAAAAAGAAAAAGAGTGTTACCCCCACCCTCACCTCCCAGGAGGTCGGAACTAAGTATTACATGTTCCCGGTTATCGCTCTTAAAAAATAGGCTCAAACTTTCACACCAGGCTGGAGAAGCGAACCACCCGCGGGCGCACCTCAGGCAGGCGGGGGATCGCGGCCGCACCGCCCGCAGCCCGGCAGGACGAGCGCACCCCGGCCCAGGAGCACCGAGCTGCAGCCGCCCCGCCGCCCCACCGCCTCGGACACCGCCGGAGGCAGCTCCCGGGGCCCGTCCCGCCCTGACAGGGGCAGCGGCCGGGAGCGTTGGGCACCTGCGAGCAGCCAGGGCAGAGCGGTGTCCCCGCCGCACCCCACGACCCGCCCGCGGCGAGCCTGGCCCGCACCCACCGGCACCGGCGGCGCTCGGCGCTGCCGCGGGGCCGTGCCCACCTGTCCGGAGACTGCAGGTGCCGCCGGCGGCTCCCGCAGCGCGCCCACCATCCCCTGGGGGCGCGGCACCCCAAGTTTGCCAAGAGGCGCTCCGGCCCCGGCCGTCCTTTCCGCCCCCACCCCGCGCCGCCGCGCCGGTGCCGGGGGACACTCACCCTCCGGGCGGCGGCAACGGGGCTCCCCTGCGCGGCGCCATGCCCCTACCTGGAAATGCTTGAAGAAGGCGGAGATGCGAGTGATCTGGAGGCTCAGGCACCTGGAGGTGCATCTGGCGGTGGAGAAAACCTCGTCCTGTCTGCGGGCGGAGGCGGCGGCCCCCGGCCCGTCGGGGCTGCCGCAGGCGGCCGTCACCCAGAGGATCAGGGCGAGGGACGCGCCGGGCGCCCTCCGCACCATCGCTCTGCGGGAGAGGAGGGCAGAGGGGCGGCCGGGCGGTGCGGGGGGCGGCAGGCGCCGGGGTGAGCTCGCTCCCGCTCGGCGGGCTGGTGCCGGGCTGCGCCGGGGACGGACACCTCTGCGCGCAGAAACTACACAAGAAAGTTCAATCATTCAACTCCCCTCACCCCCGTCCTCCCTCCCTCCCTCCCCGGCTCACAGCCCTCCCCCGGCGGCAGCGGGCGGGCCGATGCTGACAGCGGCCGCGCCATTGGCTGCGCCGAGCGGCAGCGGCGGGCGGGCGGGTCCTGTGCCCGCGGGCAGGTCGGCAGGGCCGCCCCGGCTCCCGGACCCTCTGCCGGAGCCGCCACCTGCGGGGCTCGGAGCGGCCCCAGGAGCCACACGCTCTGTCCTTGCCCGCAGGCGGCCGGGGTGGGGGTCCCGCCGCGCTGGCGCAGCACTGAGTGGCGGGGCACAGGTAACCAGTCTTTACACCCTGGTTAGCGCCTTTTATTTCTTCTTTAAAAGAAAAAAAAATAAAAAGAAGAAGAAAAGAAAAGGACGGGGTGACAAGAACGCATGGAAATCACTTTTTTGAAACTCGGTGTGTTTCTTACAGAGAAACACTGCGGTGAGCGCCTGTCCCAAGGTGAAACCCATACAGGCTCCTCTGAAGAGTTATTTAAAAATGAAAATCTGCAAGTCATTAGTCCAAATACCTCTGGGTAATAGCTGCAAAAATTAAAATAGTGCCTTGAGCTGTAAAATGGCCACCATACAGTATATATGAGCCTAACATCCTTTCTCTCTGCGCCGTCAGTGTCAGGGCTGGGAGCGCTTGCCGCAGTATGTAGCACAGAGGTTACGCACCACATTCCTCTCCCTGTTCGGGCTGTATGGACTCCTCCCGTCGCAAGTATGTGCTGCTAGAAAGAGCAAGTGGATCATTCCTCTCTGGAGTCTGCGGATTGAGCCTCCTGAACTTGAAAATAAGTAGACCTTAGGCCGTTTCAGGAGTTAATACTACATTAGTTACTAATACAAGTAGGAGTTTAGTGTGGTTATCAAACCCTGTATTAAACAGACTGTAGGAGTCATCTTTACTGAAACAAGTTTTAGCATAAGCTAAGTGTTCATTGGGAAAGTCATCTAAAATCTCATAAAAAACGGCAAGATCTTCAACCAGTCTGGCTCATACTAATTTTACATAGCTATAATTCCTCTGTGGATGTTCTTATGGACACAACTGTGAAATAAAACATATTCCCCAATGTTATTATTCTTACCACACTATATGCATACACCTTTCATAAACCTATATATGTCAGAAATCCAAAATATAAAGTTCTACTGCATCCAAACTAATAAATCAGTTGTTAAATTCTACCTTCATACTCTAGCTATAGTTTTACTATCTTATCAAAAAAGGCACAGATTAAGAAGAGCTCTTGTCGTGAGTATTGGTAACATACAAATATAATAGAAAGCAAGACAAATTTTAGTTTAGATGTTACTTTGCAGTTTACAGTGTCTTTTGTCTGCTGACCAGAAATCTTCATTTGAGAAAAGCCAGTAGGCCAGATTCAGTCCTACAAGTGCTCTGAAATGGAGATGACAGTTTGTGCCCTTGGATGCTTGAAGGAGTGCAGCTCCCAAAAGACAAGGTCACCTGCAACATCCTGGCACAGAAGTTGCCCTGCTGATTGCACTGTTTAGCGTATTCTGCCAGCTATTTGGAAGTGCCCTGGTTAAGCAAGGAAGACCATCTCAGCTACACTTCCTGAAGTCTTCCTCATCTTTGCAGTTGGAATGATTACCTTTCCTCTTGCAGTGAGCAGGCGTCATAAGCGGTTCAGAAATGCTTTCCCCAGTTCTGACTGATTTCTCACCGCTAGAGAACTGGTTACTTTGCCTAATCCAGCAGCTCTATATTTACAAAGGAAAAACAAGACATTATAGAATAACACAGAAATAAATGCACAGTCCTAGCAATATTGTGAGAATAGTGTTGAGGCCTCAGTAGTAAGCTCAGAACTTCCCAGTTGCTACATGACAAGCTTTTAAATAGGTTTTCTTAATCCCTGACTAAAAATTTCACAACTTTTTGCCTTGAGTCAGGAAAAGAAAATTGCTTTGCTGATTCATAGTGTTTACAGGTACACTGAATGCATTGAACTTTTACCATATTTTAGTAAATAATAAGAACTGCCTGAAAATGTATGTAGCTATTGTAAATCAGATGTATATCTAGAGAGGCCAGGTGGTTCTGTAGATATATCCCCTCCGTGTTAATACCAATGCATTTTATGTAATATATTATAAACCCCAGCTTTAAGTAAAAGGGTACGAATCCCATTTCTTTTGTTTTATAAAGTCTGGTATAGCATAGAGCCCTTAATAATAAAAAATTACTGAATACACAGTTTACTCTGTTGCTTTTGTTTGAAAGCTCATGGCTACAGAGATCATCAGTGTAATCTGTGAATTCTTTTTCAGTAAAGGCTGACTTGGTTAGCACACAAAAGACTGGCTGTTCACTTCCAGTAAAACTGTATTCACACAGGTCCTGTTCCATTATGTGGAGATTAAGAAACAAGCTCAGTAGCTCAAGAATTTAGTAGGTAACTAAAACCCACTATGGGCTAAATATCCAATAGACGGAAAGAGAAGATACGCAAGTTTGTAAGTACACTCATTTTAAAGATGTCAGTAAATTGGCTACAGAATACAGAAAATTGGAAATAAATTATGTATACAGTTCGACCAACCTATAAAGCTAATTGTGGTCTATAATGAGATAAATAGACATATAGATACGTTTGTATGTTTTGCTAACTTTTTTTTTTGTCAAATTACATTAAATAATCTTTTCTTATTAGAAGAAGTAGAATTAGTACTAACAAAGTCTTGCGAGCGCAGATTATTGGTTTTATGCTAAAATATACGAATTATTTTCTTACCTGTGCTTCCGAGTAGTCTGATAGTGTTCAAATGAGCTTTTTTGCAGACCGGCTTCCAGAAACTCGGGCCTGTTTTTCTGCAGGAGACAGCGCCACATGCTGGCTTTGCGAGGTGAGAGCCACTGGGCTTTGTGCCGGTTTGTTTCTGGTTAATGAGTTGGTTTTAATCGATTTTGAATTAAGATAGCTTCATCTTAAGTAATTGCTTCTTACTCTAAAGGGAATTGCCAACATTACACTCTAATTTCAGGTAAGGAAATAAAGGAGATAATGTTAAAAATATTTATTGTTTTCATGTAAACCCCTGTATTCTAGCTCACTGATTTAGTTAATTGTATTAAATCATCCTAATGTGCCATTTATTAATCAAATCTCTTCAGCTTTAATTATTTTATATCAAAAATGATCGTAACTCTGGGTACAGCATAATCCCGAAACCCTCTCCAGGAACTCAGCGTGCTTGGGTGCCTCTCTGAAGTGCCTGTGTATAGGGAATAAACTCGATGAGTCAGAGATCTATGTGCACTGATCTTGTCAGGATCATGGAGACATGGTGGGATGCCTCCCATGACTGGAATGTTGCAATGGAAGAATATCTGTCTTTTAGGAAGGACTATAGGAATAAAACTGAGGGGAGGAGTTGCCCCTCAGGAGAGCAACTGGAGTGCATGGAGCTCTGGCTGGGGATGGATGAGAAGGCAGCTGAGAGGCCAGGTAAAGGTGACATTATACTGGGTGTCTGCTATAGGCTACCTGACCAGGAAAAGCAAGTGGATGAGGCCCTCTAAAGGTGACATTATACTGGGTGTCTGCTATAGGCTACCTGACCAGGAAAAGCAAGTGGATGAGGCCCTC